GCTGCAGCCGCTGGTCGATTCTGCACACTCTCAAAGGTCCACTATTGATGTGGTGTGTTCCAGAACCTTCAGAAGTAAATGCTAACCTGTGACCCACATCTCTTATCTGATGATATACAACTCTTTGGTGTGGCTTTTCATTTGTTGCATAAGTTTGAATCAACTGCAAAAAAGTGAAAGGGAACTCTGCATTACTGTGTCAGGGTTTAAAACTGTGCGGAATAATACATTTTGTTTGTCCTCACAGACAAAAGTATATGTTAACAAAGCAGACCACACAGAAGTCTATGATCTAATCAGGAAACGTGACGTTTTTTGCAAGAGCCCAGTGAGCTAATATTTAGCTTTGGGGCGAGAGCTGATTGGCCGTGATGTGACGTGCCAAAAAAGCTGTTAAAATGAACGAAGCAAACTGTTGAGAGAGAAGAACTAGATGCATTGTAAAACATAGTTCTTTTGTTGTAGAACTACTGAGGTACCCTATTTCACAACGTCAATTTATTAAAAGTTCAGTCATGTGTATGTATGTGTAAGGATACATACATTTTATTGATTAATTACAGAAATGTTTTTCATGTTAAGATACAACTGGATCCATTACATCCTTGAACTCTTTCTGCACAACTCGAAGATGTCAGGTCCGAGTCCTCAGATGTTATCGTGTTATAGTATTGTAGTGTTGTTTGAGTCATATGTTGCATTTATCAAACTAATTTTGTCTCAAATTGAAGTGAAACAATGAAATATTGTCGGTTATGCCCTCCTGTTTGATACTGATGCAGCTGTCACTAGGGAACACATGGCCGACGCAAAGCAGAGGATACATTTATCATCAGGGACAACAAAGAACTTGAAAAATTGTCAAACAAAACAAAACAAAAAAATACAAAAAGACAACAATATTACAATTTTTGTCTGCCGTTGGTTTTACATGTTTGCTCCAAATCATGGGTTTACACAGACTAGAGAACTGGCTCGAGTAGAGAAATGTGTTGTGGTGCGAGCGCTGAGCAGCTGTTGATTACACACAGAGTGGAGAGGGCTGAAGAGGCTCTCTGGAGGCTTTCTGGAGGCTTTCATTTGGCCTAATGCAGGAGCCTCACTATATGATGTTCCAACAGAGACTGGAGATTCTCAAACTGTGGGGAGAGACGTGTGGTGCCCGAGTCCATATGAATGATGTAGTACTCAAACAAAAACAACAAACATATCAAGCTAATGCCTTTTTAGTTATTCAATATGTTTATCATATAAGCAAAGAGGCATTTATGATGAGCAAAAACCTTTTCAGTCCATTTTGCACTGATTAATTAATGGAAGTAGTGAAGATAAGTGAAGGGCGTTGAATAATTGGCTTCATATATAAATATCCCTTCCATCCAAACTACTAAAAACTAGTGCAAAAGTACAATACAAATCATAGATATCACTGATGAATTTCACTGATAGCCCCTACTGCCATTTTTTTTAATAGGATAGTTATATATTTGTGTTTAATTGGTCAGATACAACCCTGACATTTTCCAATTATGGGAGAAATAGAGTCCGTTATTATTTTATGTCACGCTTTATCCAAAAGGTCATGTTCCACTAAAAGCCACCTGCATACACCAACAGCAAGAGACAAAACTGCAGCATAACAATAAAAGATGTCGGCATTGTACTTTGTGAGATAAACGCTTTTCTCCACATAAGTCGCACATATCACACACAAAAGCATGATAATCAGACAACTCCAGCCTCTTGCAGGGGAGATTCAGCAGTACGTTTCTAAAGGGCTGTGTGTTGAGCGGAGTGGCATCTGCTTTAATCCAACATGACCCCCTCCTCCTCTACTCCCTCTCCATCCCTCTCTCGCTCTGCAAATTTGCCTCTCGTAGCATTGCGTAAGAGCTTCATTACATAATCCCAAACATTTATGCTTGTCCACTAGACTGGGTACACTAGAGGCTACGGAAAGGCCACTTCGGTCAAAGGGGGAAAACAGGAGAGAGAGAGACACACAGAAAGAATAAATTAACATGTCTATGGGAGTGAACATAAAAGCGTGACGTAAGAGAAGCTCTCATCATTACAGCTGTTCATGGGCTTGACTTTCAGTGTGCAGAGTAATAATCAGCATTTTCAACACAATAGACACATTGGTACAACTATTTTACCTTCTTTATATACTATCTATGGAAGGGCCAAAATAATCAAGTTTATATTCTCAATGCAGTTTCATCAACCATGTGAAACTGATTGACTTTTCACAAAAAACCGTAACATTTAATTTAAGATTGTGCCAAAGATGTAGCATATTGAAGTAATTCCTCCTCATCACGGCAGGGATTTTACTAAGCAAACGTGGAATAAACTGAACAAAGATCCTTCAATCTGCTCAGAAATGTTTTTGGCCCTTGTGCTATCCCCTCAGGTCAAATTGACCCACCAGAGATTAAAAAGCCCTGGGTCATTTATACCCTTTTATCGACCCTAATTTAGTGTATTCTTCTACTTTTAATCATTTATGGCGGGTGTTTTTGACCCGAGGGTAGTACAAGGGTTCAAAGTAGAAGAAAAATACTCTAGTAGGTTCTAAAAGGGTCGTAATGATCATGTTAAAAAAAAAAAAATTCAAACAAAAAAAGTCATCAGTTCATGTTTTATAAAAAGTAAAGCTGTTTAACTACTATGATAGTCGATAGATTACCATACTCAATAAATACATTAAAAGCTGACACAGGCTTTCTTTTGTAACAATTAACCTGCATAAACAATTTCCCAATTACCAGGATCCTTGACTTATGTATTTATTTGAGAAAGGGGGAACAATACATATTAAATTAACATTTTTACAAATATAAATATGCCAGATTATAGCCTTAGGCTAATTTCCTTCTGCAGACCCCCCCCCACACTATTTATATACAGAAAGACAGGAACAGTGATCACATGTTAGAACAACCAGCTTAAATGCTGTTTATTTTCTTCACAAAAAGCCCTTAATGGAAAGCACCTGTCGCTCTGCTCCTCACTTTGGCTCATTAACAAAGGCAATTAGTTCTCACATCCACCAACAGGGGACATGTCATCTCAGATTGTCTAAGTAAGTAATTGGTTGATATAGTCCATTTCACAGAATAAGTTCACAAAAAGCTCTATAAAATTGTTGGTGTTCCTGTAATTTCCATTCTCTCCACACACTGATGACAAACGCCCTGGTGCCTCGAAGCCTCTGACCGTCACCATCCTTCACTCTCCCATTACACCCATTTCTATTGTGCGTGATTTTAGTGGTGACGGAAACCTTAGCACCCGGAGGAAACGTACGCAGACATGAGAACATGCAAACTCCATACAGAAAGCCCCAGAGGTTAAATGGAACACAGAACCTTCTTGCTGTTAAGTGCTAACCTGTCACAGCATTGAGCAGACAAGTACGAAAAGAAAAGAATGCATACCCCGCAATTATTTACATCCTTCTGAAGCAAAAGAGTGCTGATGAAATGTCTAGTCTGTCCCTGCAATAGTGAAGGGTGAGAATTTGTGCTCCAAGAAACAAAAGTACTTATGGTAAAATTCAAAGGCATGACTTAAACCGCAACGACAGTTTCAGAACATTTCACAATCTTCATTTTAAATGCTAGCATGGCCGTTAGACAGCTTTCAAAATGTGGAGATGGTGGTTCTTTGGAAAGCATTGATGAGAAATTACGAAGAAAAGGTGATGCGCAGGCAAGTCTTAAGCAGAGGCAAATATGAAAACAAAGGAACGCATTTGCTGATCTACTGACTGCATACGGCACACTACTGGAACAAATAGAAAAAAAAATCTTGTCGATGTGGCAAATGAATAGCAAAAGAACATTGTGACAAGCTACCACACACAAAAGCATGTCCTTTTGAGAAATGCACTTAGTCGGATCAAAGAGACTCTTCGCCTTTATCAACAAACATCTCACCACTGTCCAATTCCATTTATTCATCTCCGCCATCGCCCCCTTCCTAGAACACTCCATCCTCAAGGCTTGTATTCATTTTTTAAATCAAGGGCTTTCCTGATGCTCATCCTTGACTGCAATATAATCTTTCTATTCTTGAACGAACATGGGTTCAGACAGTGGCTCTTGTCTACGTTCATGAATCTCTGTATACTTCCCCGAGTCTGGATAGGCCACATATGGTGTCAACACAACAGCTATTTCTGAGACAGCAGGAGCTCCGCTTTCGGGTCACGGATCAAGCAGAGGCGCAGAAAAACAAGCAAGATGAGGAGAATGTTGTCAAGTTATTCTCTGAAAACTGTACCTACATTCTGGGAGGCAAGGGGACTGGTCGTCATGACACCAGTTGCCAGGGAGCTGGACTCTGCAATAAACAAATTTCTGTCCATCTCGCTGCCCTGGCAACCGATGCAGTACATTGTTGTACAGTTTAGACTCAAGTGTCATGTGTAAGATGTAGGTCCAGAAATTTCACTCCACTGGGATCTGTTTTCATTTTAATAAACACTTGACATTTGCTGTTGCTCAATAGAAAACAAGACGGTATCTGCAACCGTTTGAAAACATGCTTGTAAAATTAAACTAAGGCAGACTTAAAAATTAAAATATATTTATAAAACAACACAATGTTCTTTATCTCAGTTGATTTTTAGTGAAAATTAACTCCCAAAAGAATATCAAATCAATTATAAAGCAGGGGTACCCAACTTGCCTCTTTTTTGGGAGTCGATATTTGACACTTTGGGAGCTGATTGGCTGCGTCAGGTGGTCCTCTCATTTTAACATTTATGTCTGAAGAAGCTGATCCAAGGATGGGACCGGGTTCTATTAATAGTTTAGATTGATGAACTAGTTTAGATCAATATATTCAATGGTGAAAAAAAAAAAGAAAAAGAAAAATGGTAGTGTGAACGTTGGGTACCCCAGCTTTAAGTCTAAAGCTACACTGGACTCTCGGATGACGCTGCATCACCCTTCAGACCACTCACTGTTCTGATTCTGGCCTGCACATCTTCAGCTTTTCACTGGATCACCATTTTCAGACTTTGGTTCCGTTTCTTTTACATCGTGGTCCTTTGAGTCCAGATCCTCCCCGGTCTCCTCCTCCAGTCCCTTTTCCTCCTTTTCTCCATCCCCGTGTTTCTGCCCCTGGCCCTGTTTGTCTCGGAACACCTCGACCCCCAACATCCGAAGGTAATGGAATCTCTCGTTGCGGGGAACAAAAGCGCGGATTGACGTTTTTCCTCTCCACCCGCACAGCTGGATAGGACACTGTGGCTCTGAGGGGTTACTGCAAACACACAGAGCTTGAGTCAGGCCTTTTCACGAAATAAAACAAACTTGCTAAGTACAATGACACTTTCACTTACTTGGGGTTTGGAATATACTTCAGCACTATGCTTCCCATTCCTAGGATATAAAGAGATCATGATTCTGTCTTCAAATGGGCAAAAGGACCACACATTTCAAGGGGACATACCGATCTTCTTGGCCTGAGCATGAGCATCATCTTGTAGTTTGCTAAGGAAGGGGTTCTCCTGCGTTAATAGCACCTTGACGTCTTCCACGTTCACCGTGATCATCCTGGAGCGAATGTAAGGCTGGACGCTGTAAATACCCTGCAGGAAAGAACACATTCGACCATGGAAACACTAATCTCACACAAGTGCTTCTCAACAGCTACACTAATATGTTTGTTTAGTCATCTGTATAGGCCAGAGTTATTACATAAGATAGCAGAATAAACAGCCAGTAATGACAGCAACTCCACTCCAATCCAGGATACCACAAGTACACTTTGGCTGCATCCAAACAATAGGAAGATGGCTTTTTGATTAATGTGAATGATGCCAATGCTTTATATAATGAATCAAACAGTGTTGCCCTCTAGTCGTCTGTAGGGAAGGACAGAACTAACACTGTTGCTAATGATATATACAGGTTGGCTCATTTCTAATTCTATATGTATTCAGGTGCAAACTGCAATTGTGACAAGGAAAAATAGAATGGAAAAAGGTTTACCTCTTGGGCTAATCTAAAAGCACAGCCAAACTCCTCTCCGTCACTGTTCCGAGACCACACCTTTACTCCAGTATTTATGACCTTAATGCAACACAAAACCACGTTCATGAACAAATCAAACAATAAACCCAGTGCTGGTCGTTTGAAGAACATCATGAGACACTTCAAAAACATCAGATTATTGCGGAAAACACAAAAACAGACAAACAAGAGGCCACCTGTGCAAGAGCTACAAGGTGGAGGACTGTAGGGACTTCGGAGAGGCACATCCCATCTGTTAACTCTCATCGCTCCAAATGGGGGCCACAAGCTTGTAGTTGCAAAACAAACTTCAAGTCTAAACTATTGCGTGTTTGGGTTTCAGAACGTTAGGATGATGCTGAAACACTGACAAACCTTCATGCGCTCGCTGTTGTTGAGAAGCACATTGCGCAGCTCCTTGGACACCATGTACAAGTGCCTCTTCTTGCCGTCGTGAGTCCTGGTTAAAACGTTTAATTTGGGAAAGTCTGGAGATAGGTCGTAAAAAGATCTAGGAAATCAAAGACATGCACAAAAGGGAAAGTTTATGCTTGATCCATGAAATTACACTAGAATCAAGTCACTAGATTTGCAGGTGGTAATTCCCATACTGTATGGTTGTGAACACCGGATCATCTTCTGTTAGGAACACAAAGGGGTCTTCCTTATACCCAAAAAGCTTCATCTTCTTATTTGGTGGAGGTCTGTATGAAAAAAAAAAAAAACATTTGAATGTGACATAAGGACATTATTGGAGGTGGAACATCAATATGTGATGTGATCTGGGAAAACCCATCACATGGTGAAATTTGACCAATTTAAGATTCTGATACCATCTTAATGCTGATTTCAATCTCTTTTCAAATCTGTTTTCCTATTTTTCATAGCATGTCTGTAACAAAAGTTAGCCGACTTCATTATCTGAAGTCAGCTTTTTAACATGGTTTTGTGAAACAGAATTCTGAGAAAAACAGGTTTAAAGATAGACATTCTAAATAGAATCACCATAATCAAATATAACATGTTACATTTGAATTATTCTGTTTCGGCACACACTTATTTTAATCACTATGTTGTAAAAGATTTAAAAAAATGATACTTTGGCACCAATTAAACACACAACACTCATTCATTAGACTGTATTTATTCATTCAACATTCAATGAATTTAATTTGTTTTACGTAACTTTTCCTCTTCTTTTTTGTGTCTTTTTCTACTGAACATTATGTATGTATTAGACAATGCCAGTATTTTTCTATCAAATTACGCAGTATGATTATCCACGCACAACCACCAAGCATTTTTAATGCAAGGGGAAAATTAGGTACCCGAGCTTTAATTTCGTGAATTGTGGTTGCGCATAGGAGACACGGGGGAGATCTGGACTTGCAACTAGCTGGGGATTGTCCTGAACGCGTGTCTATGGTTCTGTCCGCGTATGGTTCTGTTTATGGTCCTGTCCGAGTGTCTATGGTTCTGTCCAAGTGTCCATGATGTCTCGCTTGTCTATGATCCGTGTGTCTATGGTCACGTCTCTGGTCCTGTCTGCGTGTCTATGGTCCCATCTATGGTCCTGTCTGCGTGTCTATGGTCCCATCTATGGTCCTGTCCGCATGTCTATGGTCCGCACTCGGAGCCCCGTTACGGCAGTGCGTTCACTGAGCTGTCAAAGCGGCCACAGCTGCTCCCGCGGTCAGAGCGGAGGATGTAACGTAACGTTCGGTTTCTCAAAACATATCACTATTTTTAATGCATAAAACTAGTGAATTTCACCTAGATATATTTTCAGAAACAAAAGACAAGATGTTATATAATAATTACTTAATGAAAATACAATTGTCAAAAAAAATGACAATCGACCTATTTTTACGATTTACTCGGAATGTGCCAGCGCGACATCCAACGGTTTTCCCAGATTGCATCACATATAATGATAAATAATGGTTATTGAATGCAGTAAATATCATCTATAATTAGCACTACCTGAAACCTAGTGGTAATTTGCTACAGAAATGCAGCATGCCATGCCGACATCAACTTGATTGATCTGCTACTACAAACAATAAATAAGAAAACTAATCTTGAGTGGGCGCTGGTGAGCCTTTTCCATTTGTTTATTCATTATGACTCCTGATAGACCAAGCAGAGTGGCGTGACTCACCCACACACTCCCTCTTGTTTAGCACTGGTCTCCTGGGCCACTGCAGCCTCTTTGGGTGCCTCTCCTTCTGCTTGTGGCTCCTCTGTTGTCTCAGACTCGTCCTCCATATCAGCGGCAGTGCTCTCAGGGATAGTGATTGGGGAGGAGGAGGGGGCTGTGGAGACCTCCTTTCTTACCTGAGTATCACAATGAGATGTCCAGAGAGCAAATGTACAGTAGATATAATCAATTCTAGATCTCCTGCCACCTCACCTTAGGAAATCTTTTGTTCCATGGCATTGGAGCTTTCTTTAACAGAACAGCCACAAAGAAGCCCCCTGTATTTTGATGATGAGGCAAAATCCTCATACTGTCAACACATTCACAAAAACATTAATTATTAAATGTATACACTCTCAGAGTGGTGTTTTTTCTACAACACAACAGGCAATAAGAGTGAGGAAGCTTTACCAATGGCCCCCTCTATTGGTAGAAAAATGATCAACCCAATATAGCTTTCAATGCAGAGTATCACACTGACAAGATGTGAATGTACAGTATATCACAGAAAAACTGACAAATATAAAGGAATGAAATGACTTTGAATCCAATAGATTGCAGTAAGACAATTTGAAGGTTACTTTAGGTAAAACAATAAATTTGTGAGATGGAGCACAGATACCAGACTTTTGTTAAAGAACTATGAAGGTTACGACTGATGAGTAATCCTATAACAAAAACAGTTACCATCTTTCCAAATGCATGCTGGCCAACAACTCAGGGTCTTTAGGTGGGAACATGGTTGGTCGGATTTGTGTGTGCCGACAAGTAGGAACTACAGACCAGTCTGAAAACCATGTTCCGTCTTTTGTCATCAGCTACATGAAAACACAACCAGAAGATAAATTAAGCCACTAATATGCAGTGTTCTACCTGACTAGTAGAGGTAAGTATTAGTCCCTGTACCTGCCAAGAAGTGACACCAGGCATCCACTTGAGACCTGGAAGATCAGCTGAGGCATCCACAAGCTCTAGTGATCCTGGGAATGCAAAGGCAATGTTAAGAAATTCAATGAAAGGATAGTTTCAAACTCTTGTTTTCAATATTGTTACTGGCATTTGGTTAGTTATCGATGCAAAGATTCCAGCTTCCTTTTAGTCAACATGGATGTCAATTTTGCACTTATAGAAGAACAAAATTGACCTCCTAAGCTCAGTAACTAAAGATTGGTCATGTCTTCCAGGTGACATCAAACATTAACATGCACATCTTTGTCCAGGTGACATCAAGTTTGAAAGTGTAGTATGGAGCCTCCCCTGAACTAATGAACGACTCGACAGTTCTAGTTGTCAAAATATCTGTAAGTAGGTACTAATGAAACATTAGACGACCGCATAATGCTCAATTAATCTTCAGATTTAAAGTATGAATTAAGTCAGAAAATGTGACCTTTTCCAATGGCCTTAGTTTGTTTCGAAAAAATCCCTTCTTAAAATCAAAATATAAAAGGTAAACTACTCCTATAATCTTCCAAAAACGACATCACACTCTGATGACTAATTACTTAAATGTTCAAGTCACACAAACTACGACAGAAGTTGATAATGTCAGTTTTACCTTCACTCTTTTCGAGCAGTGCAGCAATAACAGCCTCGTCCTCTATGGGGTTGAGAGAACAGGTGGAGTAGACCATTCTGCCTCCAACTGCCAGCTGTTCAACCCCACGTACTGCAATACGCAGCTGGAGCCTGGACACAGCCGCACATTTCAACTATGACTCAACAGAAACAGTGATGGTGAGACAAAGGACTGGCTTCACTCACCCATGAAGATGCAGGCTGTTGCTTGTGGTCCATTTCTTCCACACATCAATATTCTTCCTCATTGTACCGTCACCACTGCAGGAACACAAACGACATCTTGCAATGGAATACTCAAACGTTGGCGCGTTTTAAAGGCTTGGCTACCAATGACTTTCGTCACAGCCAATAGACGAACCAAAGAACTGTACAAAATTGATAGTGAAAAACAATCACTTTGGGGGAATAGTAATACAAAATAATAAAATGGCTTATTTCATTAAGTTTGCAAACAAATATAAACTGTTAAATAAATACTGAAGAAAACATCTTGTTCAAGAACACAACTAAAAGAAACCCTAGAAGCTATTTGGTGTGTACCATTTTTTAAGAAGACAGAATAGATTGCGTACAACAGATTTGTCCTGCCATAATGAAAAATGCTGTAATACAAACAAATCTTGCCTACTCATAAAAGACAAGTTCCTCCACCATCCCCTTTACAAACCTGCATGGTACATCGCACAAGATGCGGTCATAGAAGAGGATGTCTCTTTTTCCATCTGAAGTAATGTGTAGAGTCGGAATGCATGAAGCATCGTGGTTGATCACCATAATGCAGGGGCTGTTTAGACGTTTAGCCTGATGCACAAGCAGATAGCAGCGCTTGTTGTCCACATCGTTGGCAATGACAAAACCCTCTGAATTACATTAAAAGGATCATATTAAACGCATATGTGTATATTGTCATTATTGTGTCATACAATTGTTTGTGTGCTTAAGTTTTCTAACCCGGAAAAGGCACATCCATGTCCGCATGCAGCATCTCAATGAGCTGGGTCGTTTTAGACCCTGGAGCAGCACACATGTCCAAAATCTACACAGAGAAGCAATCATTAGTCTTTCCATTAACCAAGGCAAAAACAAACATGTCCTCACCTTGTGGTGTGGTTCAATCTTCATGAGCAGGGGAGGAATCATACTGACAGCTTCTTGTCTACTAATGTTACCCTGCAAACCGAAGCATGACATTATCATATGAAAGATATCATAGGAATCTCCATTTATCAAAACACAGAAGCATTCAATTTATTTTCCAGGCTGAAAAAACAAGTTAGATAACTACTCACAGACTCTGTCTCGCTGACTAAAAACTGATGGAACTTCTCCAAGAGTGGTGACTTTCTGATTATTTTCCTGCTCATGTTTGTGTGCCAGGCCTGTTCATCAGGATACCTACAGAAGACAAATAACGTTATATGGCTGCTAAACATGTGTATTGCTTATAATCACAGTACATACCAACTTAAGGGTTGTGGGGCTTCAATGGTCTGACCATCAATTTCCAAGTCCTTAATGTCTTTAAAGTACTTGTCTTTCAGACAGTGGAGGATTTCTTTGGCATGGCTGAAAGGTCATACTTTATTGTAAATCCTTAAAACATCATACTGTCATTTGTTTTAGATAGTTTACTGACTGACGCACCTCTTGTATCCAGTAATACGAATGGTTGCTGGAAGGGGCTCCCTCATGGCTTCCATAAATTGCTCAAACTCTTCATCAGGCACGAGACCAAGTTTCTTGTAATAATGCTCAAAAAGCTTGTTTTCTTTGACAATGTCAGCATAACCTGCACCCCAACCCTAAAACAGAAATTGTGTTCTTTATTAAATCAAAAGCACATTAAAAGTTATCAGTGCTGCAAATTTAACAAAAATGTATGGCCTAAACATACACTCTAGAAAAACATATGCATTTAACATTAATATATTTACAACAAAATAAAATGTGTGTTAAGAATAAGGCTGCATAAACAAACATCAAACTCTTACTGCGTTGTCTCTGTTGTCTCTTCCACTAGTCTGGTTTTTCTGTCGCTGCCTGCTTCTTTTGCCCATTTTGGAGAAACACAAGAGTCTGGAAAAGAGCCTGCGGGACAACGTGGTGCTTGAAACTCAAGAAAACACACTGTGGAGTGAATTAATACACCAGTTTCAGCTTGTTGGAGAATTGAACACTTTTCCCTATGGACAATGTGCTGCTGTACGTAGCACGGATGTATGTTGTATCAACCCCACGTGAACTAGGACCCCAGAGAAAGCCGACAACCTGCCTGACAGAAATTACATAGTAGTTTTTTCACTTTTTTTTTTAAATAAAATGTAGTCAAAAAATCAACACTAGAAATGAAAAGCATATATTATGCTAGCTGAAAATGCAGTCGTCGTATTTTAACGAATGTAACTCTCTGATTGGTGGGTGGTTCTTGTGGGCTGCAAACCGTGGACTCTGATTGGTTCTGGACAAATTACACCATGTGAACACCTTGAAACTATTGGACGGTCGAAATCGAGTTTTGTGCGCAAAAATAAAACTAGAGGGATCTTCGCTATCCATATACAGTTTATCTAACTGAATTATAACATGAATTAATTTCATTATACCAATTTGTGTAGGCCATGAGACGAGAGTATTTAATTATTTTGTAATTTTTACTTTTTCTGAAAGAATGACACAGTTTAAGAAGAAATACATTAAAGATGGACTATATATACTCGATCTTACAACACACATATTCTTTCCACACAGATTTACTACTCCAGTAAATCATGTATGTGTTTGGGGGTAAATAAATCTTGTAGCAAATATATTCAAAATACAAGATGGCCAAAGCACGATCACGATATCCACAAACATATTCCTCTAGATTTGTTAACCAACATCCAGGGACAGCAACACGCTCCACTCTCACGATAAAGTGATAGTCTGTAACTCTAAATGGATGAAAACATTTCTGGCCTTAAATGTTGATATAAAATAAGTCATTTTATTAATTCTAATATTACGGGCAAGTCCCGCCTTCCCTTCTCTTAGCTATAGTTCAGAATCCATGGTGCCGTCGAGGTTAACCAATCGAGTCATACCAAGGGCTGTCAATCATCGGCGCTGATGCTCGCAGCTGCGCGCATGCTCAGTTGTTTGTTTTCATGGAGCCTCCGAATCAAGCCTCCATTAGGCTCTGGAACTTCATGAAAACTGAACAAAGAATTCTGAACATCTGCACTGAGTTACTCATTTATATACTGAACCTATATCCATAATCAGATCCTCTGCAGATGTGTCCTATAATGTGCAATTCTTATAATAGCACTTCCGGGTTTGCCGCGATCGCTTTTTTTGTGCATAAAAACTTTTTTTTTAAATTAAAACGTTAACAAATAATTCTGAAAACCTCCGTGCATGTGTATTAATAATGTACATGTATAACGTGTTCTCTGATTAACATTTAAAAGTGTTACGGAAACGTAGGTGTAGACCAATCAGAAAGGAAGGGGGAGGGAGCTTGCGTCGCTTTTTTCAAATCAAGCACCTCTCTGTCTCTCTTTCTGACAAACTCCAATCACTTTAAAGCAAGATGGATCTGCCCTTCTCCTGTGGACTAATATAATCCTTTCCTAGGTTCTCTTGCATGAAGTCATTTGAAATAATGGAGGCTATTCTGGGATGGCTCTTTTCCTCGGAAGAAGAGGAAAAGCACATACTCATCTGGTTGGCTTACTTTATGATGTTTATGGCGTTTTGCTCTTTTGTAACTTTACTTAAAGAGAACGTGCCGTACGGACGATATACCTCCAGCAAGTATGGATTCCCAGTACATGTCAAGTTTGCCTGGTTCGTGCAGGAGTTGCCAGCCATCCTGGTGCCATTTCTGCTTATAGTTTCAACGCCATCCTCAAAAATATTTATGATGCCCAATCAGCTCATTATTGGAATGTATGTTTGCCACTACATTCACAGGTTTGTAACATGTTTAGAGTTACAGTTGTTTTGTTACAGTAACTACAAAAGGATAATTTCAATTTGTTTTGCAGGTCTCTTGTTTATCCATTTTTAATAAGAGGGGGTAAACCGACACCTTTCGTTTCATTTGCCTTGGCTTTTGTTTTCTGCATTTACAATGGCTACATGCAGATTAGACACCTGAGCCACTATGCGGTATACCCCGAAGACTGGCTCACTCATCCATGTTTCATCCTTGGTAATTACCCATGGCCAAGCCAAATAGAACACATTTGCGAAACACTTAAGTCCAGGACACTCTTAATATAGGCCAAAGAAAAGTAAAGTGTACTATGTAACTCTTCAGGTATATTGGTCCAATGCTATTGTGTTACAGTATTGTTAAAATGTTATTTTCAGTTATACACAGATATGCGTAAACTAATTTACACGTATCACCTCTTGTTCGCCTGTAACTTGACCTCGTTGCATCACCTACACAGCCATTGTGTATTATTATTTTTATTATTTTAAATTATTTATTTATTTGGATGCATTTGTTTCAACCATTGTGCATTAACACATGATGACAGTTTGCAACAGTTGAGAACAAATTTATTTTAGATGGTGCAAATAAACCCCCAATTGAGAGGTGAAAAACAACACCTGCCTGTGTCCTTTGGCATTAATAAAAACAAGTTTCCCACCAAGCTTTAAGTGATTGATGCATGATTTTCAGGGTCATTACTGTGGCTGTGGGGCTGGTTGGTGAACATGTGTTCTGACCATATTCTGAGAAACCTGAGGAAACCAGGAGAGACTGGCTACAAGATTCCCAGAGGTAACTTTTCATGGAAAGCACATACTCAGTGTGATGTATTGGGTTACAATTTCCAGACACAAAACGTTTGAAGTAATATTTACATTTTATCATTGTATTATTAATGGTATTATCTACTACCAGGATAAAACACATTCATATCCGGGCCAGCAGTACAAGAGGAATTGTCAAAATTCTATTCCTTTTTGATAAGTGTGAATGTAATTATCGATTTTTTTGTATTTATTTACCTATATTTAAAAAGGTAGATCCTCATTGAGCGTGCCAAATTTTCTTTTTCATGAAATCCCTGCTTCATTTACTAATTTACAAACATGTACAGTTATGATTATTCTAAAAACCAAACCAAATCATTAATCTGTTCACCTTTACGTAAAGGTGAACAGTTTTGGAAAGCACTTGTGATCCTGTGTTCAGAGAGCCAGAGTTCTTCTTTTCTTTATTAAGAGCTTTGCTTATTTCTGTCCAACAGGGGGAATGTTTGAATATGTGTCAGGAGCTAACTTCTTGGGAGAAATAATAGAGTGGGCCGGTTTCGCTCTTGCTGCTCAGTCGGCACAAAGTTTAGCTTTCTCCATCTTCACCACAGTGGTTCTTACCAGCAGGGCCTTTTCTCATCACAAGTATGTATACACATTCACATGCACAGCTCAACAGCAGCCCATTGCAAAAAGTGATAAAATATTAGGTTGTAATTGAGTTGATTCTTTAAACAATATTTGCCAATGTAACGCCATTAAGTCTTATTTCAAGGACAGTTGGTCTATTTTCTCATTCCAAGGGAGACATTTCTTGTTCCATTGGCAAATCTTGTTTTTATTAAGATACATTATATCAAATTTGAGCACATTTTGTCTTGGTTTTCCTCACTTTTTGAAGTGCCTTTCCTTTGTTCCATGTTGCTTGCATTGCATCAAAAGCGTCTGTCTCATTTGCAGATGGTACCTTGAGAAGTTTGAAGACTACCCCAAAAATAGAAAAGCTTTGATTCCCTTTTTACTTTGAAGCAGCACATGGTAATTTATTTAATGATAAATGATATGATATATGATTTTTAAAAAATAAAAAAAAATAAGCATGTGCCTCCCTGTAATAGTCGTTGTGGTAATCATGACATCTGGGTATCTTTACAGAGGGAATATCTTGTCCTGGAGCAGATTTTTGTTCTTTACTCTCATCAGTTTCTGACTAGATGCCACTACAAACAAGCAGAACAGAAGTATCCCATCCAACAAAGTAACAAAGCTGCAGGGAAATTACAAGGAGATCAAACAGACCCTTCCATCCCTGAAAAGAGTGGATTCCCTGGATAATACTGGTAATACTGTAGTTATTGTCGACTGGAGACGCAAGAGTTGACGTGTGTAAGGAAGTTAATGGGAATCTTGCATTATAGGACACTAATGGTTAGAATTGAATTATGAACTATTGAAAAATCCATGCTGTCTTTGTGATAGGTTTACCATTAAGATTTATTTTTATTTACTCTAATATGACTGTTTATGAATAAAACATTTAGCTAACATTAAACTCCGACCACCCTTGCTCTTTTTCTTGTTGTATGGTACCTTTTTGTGTATGATTCAGTAATCACATAAGCAAATTCAGCTTTGACAATATTTTAGACTCATAAAGACAGAAAGAAAGCATTTCTGTCATTCAATAGTATGCTATCTTGTATGTGTGAGTAAGCAGCTGTGTGTGTATGTCTGAATGTGTTACATACAGAGCTGCATATCAGGCTGACACATAGTGTCAGTCTCTGGGGGCTTCCTCGAGTCACATGCTGCACGTGAGTTACTGGGTTGTGTTATCGAGGTATTTCACAAGATATTTTACTATCTCGTTTAATATAATATGCTCGTTTGTATTTATGTTTAGGACCCCCTCGAAAATGAGATGATTCATCTCAAGGGGTTTTCCTTAATAAACTTAATATATCAACACGAGTATTCCTTCTTCACTTCACTTCGATCAGAGGGGAGAAAGGATGTATAACACCCAAATGCCTCAATTGCTGTACACCATCGGAACAGTTTTTTTGTATATAACACGTGTTCTTCATAAAAATATAAGACTATTGTATGAATTTATTTATGAATGTATCTATCCCTCTGATGTTCGATTGGGAAGGGGCTGAACTTGACTGGCAGCACTAATAGCCTATTCAGGCCTATTGCCGACGGGGAACCCCTCTGAACCGCCTCCCTCCCCTGGATGCTCTCGCCCTCTACTCATTGCTCCCTGCACACTCCACTGTTGGGCTTCGTTTGTAGCAATGGTAATATTCTCCGTGTGTTGCTTGATGAAATGCGGGGTAGTTTATCATGTGTGCAGAGCTCTGTGCAGAGTGGGCGTATGGGGGGCGCAGTCATCATTTAAAGAAAGCATCAGCCGCGCATGCGCGTGGATTTGAAGAGAATACGCCATATTGAATTCCCGTAGGATTCGGCTAGCATTTTTCCCAGTTAGCGGTACAGGGGACCACTATCAATGGTCCCAGTTAGATACGCATCTTACCAGCCTCCCGGTTTGTGCCGTGGCCTTTTAAAGGCCGCAGAGCCTTGTGGAGCAAGACGGGCCGCGGCGGTTCGTGGATAGTTGTTGTCGGGGGCTGCTTCAGAGGCAAGTTGAATGGATCCGAGGGTAGCTTGGATTCAGCCCGAACAGAAAGGACCTGCGAACGCTTTATGGATGCACGTCTGGGAGACTTCTCAGGGACTACGCACTCTCACTGCTCAGCAGAAGCTCCACAATCAAAAGCACCTCCCGTGTGTGAATTACGCAGCGTTAGATGTGTTGAAGAATGTGGCGACCGCGGTGGCATCGAGCATTTGCAGCAGCAATGGTGTCAGTACAGGCGGCGTGAGCAGCAGCCATCACAGCATCACTGACGGCACTGCGATGTCCTCCGCGGGGACAGCACTGTGTAACGGGACATCACGGGAGACCTACACGGACCACAGTCAGGGCAAAACTCACAAAGCAGGATCTGTGTCCTCGGCATCTTCTCAAGAGTCCGGGCCGGACAGCCCACCTCCCAGCAGCGGCAAACTAGAGAGGACTATTGGTGGACATGTCACGGGTAATATGAACAATAACATAGGGACTGCTAATCTGTTACTACACTTGAGTGACAGCATGGACAATGTTAACCTATATCAGCACCATCAGCGTCTGCAAGAACACTCCATGTACAACTTTCAGCAGATTTGCGCAAATCGCCACCAGGTTCTCTCTATACCTGTACCTGTAAATTACGCTCACAGTCACCACCCAGGCCGAAGGAAAGGGGATAATAAGGCCAGCACTTACGGCATGAATTACTTGCTTTCACATTGCACTAATGGCAATTATGTGAGCTCTTGGACCCCATGGAAGACAAAGAAGTACAATCCCGGTGTTCTTGGGTAAGCACCTTGATGGTCCTGTGATACTGTGTCATTATCTACATCTGTGTGTTACATTGCCGTTAGTTTCTCGGTCAATTTCCAGTGAATGGCCCCAACACATTTTACATAAGACACTCAGCAGGGGACCGGAAGTGGCCATTGTGTAATTAAACATTAAGTAACGTTAAAATCGATGTCTGGGCCTATAGCCATATCTATTGAAACACATGTTCTTATATTTCGCGCATCGTCATATTTGTCCTAAATTCTACGCAAAACAATCATTCTTTTATGCTGGAGTTTTATTATGAAAGGGTTTTCTCGGATCTTGTCTTCTGTTCAGGAGGCCATGGATCTATTGGCCTGGTAAGAGTAGTGAGTAGAAAAATGCAAAGTAGTTTGGTTTTCCATTGCATTCATTGGGGGGAAGGTTGGTTTTCAATCAGGAGGGATTTTTTTTTATGTTACCACTTCACTTGGAGGGATGACCTGAACATTTACCTGGCTGTACTAGAAATATTTTTTGACCATGGTCTTTAAGATAATCTCTCATGTGTTGTAAATGAGTTTTACACATGTGTAGTATAACAACTAGCTATTATTTTGAGATTTATTTTGAGATTTAATCTAGCAATTCTATACTGTTCTATCTACCTAGCTAGTTATGTGATATTTTTTTCTTTTATTATTTTGACTCAGAAATAGTTCAAGTTGCTATTCTAGTTTGTAATGGCTAATATTAGCAGACAAAACTTTTTCATCATTTAACATGTGTGCATTCATTTTTTTTTTTTTTTTTTACCGAGTTTCAGCTAATCTCTCAGCAACTATATTCTTCTTGACTCGGTACCTTTTTAAAAGAGCATTTATTGATTTAATCCAGTATTTAAATAACTCTATTTAAGAAATTAATCTTTGAATTGATACAGCTCTAGTATTTCGTCCGGGAGTAGTAGGTTATTTAACATGCAGCACATGTTTCTTGTTTTATTGTGCCTTTTTCATGGGTTGCACAACATTAGTTGCAAGCATTGGCTTGCTGCTGTTTGTCTTCAGGGTTGAAGTGGTGTTGCAGGAGTTATACCACATTGATGGTAACTATTAATGTCAAAGGTGGTTTTCTACTAATATTTAACTATGATGCGTTATAATCACAGAGCAGTATGTCATGATGTTTGTTTTACATGAAAACAAAAGTTAAGCTCAGTAGTGTGAAGAGCAAACCCCCAAAGTCCTTCAGGCTAACACATGGTAATAGAAACTATGGCTCCCTGTTCGGTATTATCTGACATAATTCCAGGAAATTGATTGTTTTAGAACATTTTTTTTTATTTGTGTCCAGAATTGGACTTTTAATCTGTATTTAATTGTGCAGGTTACATGAGGAAATTATGGACTTCTACAACTTTATGTCCCCTCGGCCGGAAGAAGAAGCTATGAGGAAAGAGGTGGTGAACCGAATAGAACTGGTCATCAAGGAGCTTTGGCCCACCTCAGATGTAAGATGAAAACCTTAGGAGACCCAGTTTGATGTGCCAATGTCATTCTGCATATGAAAAATATACTTAGTGAATAAGTATTTATATAAGAATATATATAAAATTTGAATATGTAATATCATTACATTACCGGTGTATATTATTTTAAAAGAAAGCGATAAAAAATATGTAGACATGATTGTGAATACCTCCTACATCTGTTTTATTTAATCATGTAAAATGTATTAATCATATCAAACACATGCGTGTGGATTTGTTGACTGCCAGTCTGCTACTTCAACTAGACTGCCAGAGAAATGGATTGAACTGCTGATTTGTAGTCTTTCATCTGCTCCTATTAATACTAGACTGGTCCTGCGCTATAGCCTTGTCACAGGCCGAATAAGAGAACTTTACTTTGCATCCTTTTGAGAGAACAGTTGCATTGGCAGCTCTCAATGTTGGCAACGTTTGAAGTGAAACACAGAAATAAGTAGCTGTTTATTTCTCTCTCTATTTTTGGATCATTTGAGAAGAAGATGTACATTATGTCTGCTTCTTTTTGTGCAAAGGTCTGTCCTTGCCCCTTTTATAAACTTAAGATTCTCTTTTCCCCAGGTTCAAATATTTGGCAGCTTTAGTACAGGACTGTACTTACCAACCAGGTGAGTGTTGATTACAACCCTTGTAAAAGGTTATTTCCATTTGTCCACCATAGATGCTAATCATAGTTTCACATTTTCACCCCCTTAGTGACATTGATCTGGTGGTGTTTGGGAAATGGGAGCGACCTCCGCTGCAAGAGTTGGAACAAGCTCTTCGAAAACATAACATTGCAGAACCGTTCTCGATTAAAGTGCTTGACAAAGCTACAGTAAGTTGTGTTAAATGAGCATTATGTTATTCGTACCGATGACGGCAACATCTGAGCAATGCACAGGAAAATGCACAAACAAATGTGTTTTTTGAATGAAATAAATGCAGCATTGACTTTATTATATTCAGATTCATTTATTTGCCATTTGCAGTAAAACCACATAGGAAAAACTGTGCAAGACTACCCCAGTGTGCACCAGACGACACACACCAGAGCCCTTGCCACAATTTCAATATTTCAGTATGCTTCTTTTACTCAGTTGATGAGATTTGAAAAATGTCTCTACGTCAACCATATGACACTGCATCTTGATCGGCGTCTCGGGTTAAAGTGATGTTTTGATAGAAAAGTAGGCTAATCAGATTTTCCCATTGTTGAAGTATAGCGTACACGGGCAGCGAGTTTGCACATGTGTGTAGACTAATCGAGTCCTTTCATCAAACAGCACACAGCTGAATGCAGTTCTAGCTTTCTACACAAATGACATAGTATTTCACTCATAAACAAACTTGTAATGGTTTTACATTGAATTAAACTTGAATTTTCTTAAATGTATCTGTAATGCATCTTAATAGAATACCCAATTAATCACACAAAGATAATTGATTGCTGCTACATGTACTGTACATAAAGCGTATGGGTCCACCCTCAGGGGTTAGGGTTGGGTTAGGTTTGGTGTGGTTTTAGGGATCACAGGATCATCTTTGCTGATTGCCGTGGTCCTGATTGTTTTCCCCTAGCTGTCGAGTATAAAACTGCTTAAATGAAAATGTTTGACTTGAACAATTACAGATTAAGGGACATTTACTTTTCAAAGGTGAATGGGAGCCAAACGTAGTAGGAGCTACATTGCTTCCATGAGTACTCGTGCATCAGGCTTCAGCTAACTCTGGTTAGCTCTGTCCCACCTACATACAGTCTGGTAATGACTGTATGTAGGTGTGTGTGTGATAAAGGACAATATCACAGAAAGAGGCAGTCAACAGGAGTTTCCTTCTAAAGTGTCTATGTACTTTCTGAGAGATGGGTTAGGTCATGAGGTTAGTCACTTTGGAGGAGCCCAGAGTAGAGTGGTTTTGGCATCATTTTTTGATGCCAGAAAACGCTGTGAAGTCCGAGTCATAATGATGTATAGTTCTTTTATTCTGTAATATTGTCAACATCTTCCATTATTTTAGTTTGCCATCTCATTGTGGTCCATACGTTTAGGGGCTGTTATTTTACAAAATATACTAATCTGTTGTATTTCACCCAGGTGCCAATCATAAAGTTAACAGACCAGGAAACTGAGGTGAAAGTGGACATAAGTTTTAATGTGGAGACTGGAGTCAAAGCAGCCAGCTTTATTAAAGATTATGTTAAGGTAAGACTGTCTGTTTTGATGTTTTTCGCTGTTTGCTACAATATTTAAACAATTGAAAAAAGATAAAGGAAGGATGTCTGAGCATTTTTTCAATAAGAGGAACCTCGTGACATATAATTACAATTTTAAGCTGGTGGCTAAAATTAGACTTTGGAAATTCCCCTCATGAATATAGTTCAAAAACCATCACTTAAATTGCCATTACAGCTCAAAGGACTTTCCAACGTGTGGCCTACAAGATGTTACTGCCAATTTGGCGTAGCTAGTGTATACGTTTGGCTCGCAGATTTGAGCTAGAACATTCTGCATGTGAATGCTCAGCCAGCTGTCATTCTCTTTGTATTTTCTACATATTTTTGGTAGTACATGTTGGAGCTTGAAAGCTTGTTGTGAACAAGGTTGCTCAGCATCAGTGCTGTGTTAAATGATGTTGTTAATGCATGGGTGGAGCACACTCCAGTGCAGTCATGTCAATGTGAGGTCACCTTAATGTGAAGTCTGGAGCAGTCTCCCATGCAGCTACTGCAGCCCGAACCCTCCTAGTCATGTTCATGTCTTGAGAGCATATTTGAAAGGTCAGTCCAGCCCCACTGCATATTTGGCATATGTGCTCACTCGCAGCAAAGAGGCTGCCTTTTTCTATTGTAAAAATAAAAGGGTTGTGGAGGAAATTGCTATAGTTGTGATGTAATAAATATTAAATGTAATAAAATGCACAGTTGGAATTATGTTATTGTATTTTGCAAACTATAATACCATATTTTGTCTTATGACACAGAAGTATTAATTACTTTTTAATAATCAGTATGTTGGTAAAAACCTATGCATCATCGTTCTTTCCTGCATTTTTACAGAAGTATCCTGTTCTGCCTTACCTCATCTTTGTGCTCAAGCAGTTTTTACTGCAGAGAGACTTAAATGAAGTTTTCACTGGAGGGATCAGCTCCTATAGCCTTATCCTCATGGTCATCAGTTTCCTACAGGTAAACAAGGACAATGCACAGCAGCATTGGAACACAAGATAAAACGGTTTAACCTTTTGTGGCTTTTTTTTTTTTTTTTAGCTTCACCCTCGTATTGATGCAAGGAATCCAAATGAGAACTTGGGTGTCTTACTGATTGAATTCTTTGAGTTGTATGGTCGTCATTTTAACTATGTGAAAACAGGGATCCGAATAAAAAATGGAGGAGCATACATTGCCAAAGAGGAGCTCATGAAGTCTATGACTAATGGATTCAGGCCATCTATGTTGTGTATAGAAGATCCCCTACTCACAGGTGAGACTCAAAAAACACTATCATCGTTTTCAGATGCCATGCTAAACACCAATTCTTTGGTTTCTGTTAGGTAATGATGTAGGCAGGGGTTCTTATGGTGCCATTCATGTCAAACAAGTGTTTGACTATGCATACACTATCCTGAGTCACGCTGTGTCCCCACTCGCACGATCATATCCTAACAAAGACTCTGAAAGGTAAGACTGCGCTGTACTCTTCACTCCTCTGGGACCTAGAGTTACAGTTGTTTAACATGTCTTTTTGGGTTTGCTTCTTTTTGCAGCACCTTAGGCCGAATAATCAGACTGACTCAGGAAGTTATTGATTACAGAGAATGGATTATTAAGAAGTGGGGCGTTCGTGATCTGTCACAACTGGAACACACAGGTGTTGTTTCTCTTCTACTTTCGTAAACTCATAGGGTTTAGAACGCTTCTGAGTTGTCTCTTATTCTTCCATAATTGGCATATTCTATCTGCAGCAACATTGGAGTGTGAAGCCGGTTGTGTGAACTCAGAGGAACAGAGGGACTCTGTGTCTCCACCTAGCGCAGACTCTCCCATGTCCATCTCCAGTCCTCAGCAGCACTCGTCTGCCTCATCTGTGTCGTCAGGATCAGACAATGTAAGAAGACGAACCTCCTCTTATACATTGTTACTGTTGCTGGGTAAAATAATATACATGTATATCACATTCTTCTTCACAGGACTCCGATTCTACTCTGCCTGCTCCCATCCCTCCACCTCCCTTTCATCATTATCCATCCTTCCCACATTTGGGACTGGCTCTACCACCAGGCTTCACCATAGGGTCTGGTAAACACAGTATAGGAGCACATACACTCTTCCTACCTCCCGTTTCACAGGTATTGAGCGATTTTTAATCTATTACATTTTTAAGTGCTATGATTGTAAGAATAAACCACGTACCTCTGTTCTCCACCTCCAGGCACACGTCTCACTGGCTGGTGGTCTAACAATGCACTCCTTGCCTGGCAGACAGGTGTGTATAGACACCAGGCTCCCTCACTTCTTCCACATGCCCTCCCCAGCCCATGCTCATGCCCCTGCCCCTTCCAGCCCCCAGCCTCTGCCCAGCTCCCCCTCCAGCCACACTCACAAGGTAGGATGCTGCCACACACATCACCATTCTTATCCCAAAATCTTTTCAGCACTGCTTCTCATCATGTGTCACATTATTCAATTTGATGCATCTCTGTAGTGCTATAAATGCCCAATTTAGAATGTCATTTCACATACATACATTTGTGTGTCCTTTTCTGTGCACTTTCCTAGAATGGAGTCAAATTCAACATGAAGGGCTTCCACAACCCGCCACAAGTCAACAGTCCTGTCTTGGTTAACCGTGGACATGTGCACACGCATACACAGTATCACCGTAACACTTGGAGACGTAGAAAGCGGGACAGTCTCCCCGTCAGCCTCAGCAGATAGGAGCCCCTCGTTGCTCTTTTGTCTCCTCATTGCCTCTTTGGTGCAAGCATCAGCGCTTAAGATTGTCTTGAAGAAGACTGGATCCTCGTATAGAGAACCACAGACCTGCAGCACTGAGCACTGCATTATCTTCCTGGAAGCTCTACCTACATACTTCAACTTATTCTGTTTCAGTGTCCTGTCTAGCAGTGCATTGTTTCACATTTACTTGCAGTATTTTTTAATTCAGGTCATTTTGTTACTTTCCTGAACTTGGTTTTTATTGCCAAGTAATTTTGACCTTGTCAAGCCTATTGCAGCCAAGCTGCTCATGGTAGTGTTACCTTTTCACTTGAAAAAATAACACTTGAGAACAAAGGTTTCTTTTGGTGCAATAATGTGATCTTTTTGAAACGAAAGTAAATGCTTATTTAATTTTGTGCATAAATGTAAGGCATTTTTATATTATTTTATTTTTGTAGGGTTTTTATTTGTTTATGGACCTTTCTCCAGGCAGCATCTTGAGTGAGTTTATCACTTCTATTTTTATTGTAATTGAATGTGTGTGTTGCTGTGTCTCATGAGTCTGAGATGGACCTGCATTCAGAAAGGCCTTATCCCTCCTTTCTGCCTCTTTCTGCTCCTGGTTATTTTAATAGAACTGCTGCTCTCTTGACATTTCAAGTCAGAATTCCTCTAAACTTTATCTACACACAAAAAAGGAGGGATAGTTTTAAAACTGAAAAGGGAGCCTTGGTTTCAGTGGAGTGAGGTAGGAGCATTCTTCACACACTGGCCAGGTACCTTTTTTGTATAATATTGTTCTGTCTGGAAAAGGGGAACAGTCCAAAAAATGAGGTCTGTTCTTCTCTAAGCTGGAAATCTTTGTGCATTAATTGTAAATTTAAATGTATTTATTTTGCAAGTTTGGTCATTGTTGGCTTCATTTACAATCCATAAGTTTACCAAGAGAAGAAAGAGGTTAAGTTGTGCATTGAAGGAAGGGGGCGGGTCTTTTTGAACATTGAGAAAGGGAATTCTATTATGATTCCATTCAGGAATCTTGTACATTTGAGGTAGTCCAGGTACTTCCGCTAATTGTTTGCAATGCCTTTTTTGGTGTTTACTTGGGGTGTGTGTACGTTGTTTTCAGTAGTGTGTGTCCCGCTACTTGCTCATTCTCGCAGAAAGGACTGTCTGAGCTAGACACTGCTCCGAGAACATTCACCCACCGGTGTTACTACTATGCAAGTGGATTGAACTATTGTGTCTAGTCTGTTGGTTTTTTTTGTTTGTTTTTTCCCCACTGAATAACTGCTTGTTGGAATGGAGTATTGTTACAAAGCATTAGACTCTTAAAGCTTTGAATGACCACGGGCCTTCTTTGCTCATCTTGTACAAGATAAGTTGCTAAAATGTTCCTTTTTATGTACATCAGCTGTAAGGAAGCGAGCTGTTCCCTTCATGGTTGGACATGAGTCTACGTTGTGTGTAACATACTGAAATATTTGTAATATCACTTTGACACAATGGTTTATTAGTCCACCCAGAATGCGCCTTGCACTCTGTAGGTGTACTCAAGCTGCCCAAAATGTAATGCAATTTATCTTTTTTTTTTTTTTTTTTTTTTACTATGTGTTTTGCACTTGTACACTTGGTGTTTTGTTTCTGGTAAAACCATGGCAACTATAATGAATCAAAATCTACCCTGCATCAATTATAATTCTGAAGAGAAGCACAGTACGATATGAACATCCACTTAAATTACATATTCCTATATTGGTTCATCAATACTGTCATGCATTTCCCACCATCACTTTTGAATTTTGTCGGATTGGTGATGTAAAGTTGTTGACTGTCATCAGAGTTTTTCACAAACTCACTTGTGGTGTTTTCAGAAGGCAGTATGGATTAAACTAAAAGCTCTGTGCATTTCAGCAGTCCAACATGGTTCACGCTTCTTTCTGTTGAGTTTTCTCTCAACAACGCTGATGGAAGTGCTTAAACAAGGTTCTGGTTGTGCTTTTGCCAAATTGCCTTCACTTCTCGGGTCTGGTGTGGGTGAGAAGAAACCAGGGCAACAGAGACTAGCTCAGACCACTGAGACTTTAGTGTACACATGAACATGTAGATGCAATGTACTATGCCCCCATTGGACACAATGGTGGATTTTAAACTGGTGGCTGTGGAGGAGAGGAGGCGGCCCCACTGTGATGTGACCTGGCTAAGTCATGTGAGCTGTGGTCCTCAAAATGAGCAAACCACTGGCCAGCAATTTGTTTTTGGACATTTTTATGTAAATATATTTTTTTCTATTTTATTTTTTAATAAACATTTTAAAACCCAAAGGTGATGCGTCATTTGTTTTATATTTACCAGGGGTTTTATTGTGTGATTGTCTTGTTAAGACAGTAGGTGGCAGTAATGTCCTTGTATTTTGTTGGTTCTCAAAGAGGATGTGGGATACAATCATCCTGGTCCTATCCTACCCAAGAAGCTACGGTCAGTGTCTTAAGGAAAATACACTTTTATTTATAGAATGAAAAAAAATTGCAATAAAGAAAATCCTTAATGCAATATTTACATTATCTTGTTAGAGTGGAGGCACAAGGAATATCTAGGGACCAAACACATACATCCCAGAAATTCCCTGTCAAGTTATTTTCTAATTAAATTTATGTTTTAATATATTCAGATTTGTTATCCTTTATTTATTTATAATATTCATTAGGATAACAAATCTGAATATATTAAAACATAAATTATATATATTGTGTATATATCTGAACATTTTTTACAATACTGCCAGTTTTTTATTTCATTAATTTCTCAAGTAACACAAAAGAACTGTATACTCTCGTATAAAATAACAAAGTTGGGGCTGAATCAGATCTGAAAGGTGTTACTATTTTAATTATAGATAAGAATTACAGTAATAGCAACTCCGTAACTAACTTTCTGGATGTGGGAAATCACCTTTGTTCCAAGGAAAAAAAGTGGAAGTCCTACTCTGGAACATTCTTTGTTGAATCTAGCTGTAGGAACGAGTGTTTGGTGTAAACAAACGGGGACGACATAGGCACAAGTCAGGGTTGAGGTGTGTACGCCGTTCACAATTGGGAAACATCTTTGTACTTGTTTCAGTGCCAAGAAGATGCAGAGGTCTGTACCACCAATAGGAGCTTGCATGGTATGTGCCATAGTTTGACAAACACAACATCATTTAAAGGGCTAATTTGCAACATCCATAATACACATTACATTTCTCCAAAGCCCAGAGTTGGACTGAGAGACTGGTCGGACTCTCACTGAGCCACCTCCCGTTATCTCATTGCCCAGGGCTGAAATTAACTATGAGAGCAAAAGCTTCATGCACAGATGGATGAGCAAGTCTCCCAGAAGTCAGACATCAGCTGCTTCCACTCTTGGCTGCACAGGACAGATGAGACATGACAAGAATATTAAGAATGGACCCAATGGTTTCACACATAATTTGCTGTTTGAAATGGTCCCAGTGGAACTTTTATTTCATATATTGTAAGAAGTAATTACACACTCATTGCATTTATCTTGCGTCGAAATTGTAGATTTTAAGTGACATATTGAAACTGGATATGAAATACTGGGCCAACCCTAAAGTGATTTATCAGACTTTTGTAATAGATATTCTTGTAGTCTAAGTGTAGCCAGTGACAAAACTCCATTCTCAACTTTTTATTTCATTACATCAGTTATATACCTATAAAAAATGAATGAAGAAATAACTCTCCAAATAGTGTATTTTGAATTCTGGTCAAACACATATTTTGTCAAGAACTTTTCCCCTTTTCAATAGGTCTCGTTAGACACACTTCACCTCACCACAGCAGACAGTCTTAATTAGGGTTTATTGTTTTGGAGTCTTGCTCAGCTCCTCACATGGAATCTCCATTTTGACATTCTGTGCTGTTGAAAAAGGTTCTGTTGTGGAAAAGTACTTCTAAAGTAAAACATGAATTCATTGTGTTTGGTTTCTGAAATAGTGGGGGACCAAGTGGATGTTCTATAAAATGATACATCGGATATGATACATCTACCGTATGAATCAAAATCTAAAACAAATACCTAATTCCTTGTTTTCCTTCCTTGCCTTTATTTTTTTTAAATATTTGTCATAAGATAAGATAGACTTTATTGATCTCACACTGGAGAAATGTACATGTAACTTTGGCATAGATAGGATAGGATATGGATAAGATAGGATATATGGCATATTATTTGGCATTACTGTCAATCAAAATCTCTGAAAAATATTTTTAATTTCACCAAACCTGAGTCTCATAAAAGGTCAACTGTAAATGACAAGAAAGGATTAGGAGAAAGGTGTTTTTCTTCCTGAATTGGATGCAGCAGATCAGTCTGCACGTGGGAGGGTGTTGATTCAGAACTGAGTTTAGGTCGTGTTTCCTCACTGTGCTCTCATTCTGTCACTGCCTGCAGGTTACAGTGGGCAGCAGGTGGAATGCAGAAAACATACACAGTTGGATTTTTAAGTCAGAACCGTTAAATCAAACATTTTCCTATAGATCATGGGTTATTTCTATGAATTCTAACCACACTGGGAATACAAATAGTTACTTTGTAGACTACAAAAATAGTATCTCCGTTGGAATCAGCGCCTTTGATCATTTATAACAAACCTGACATATTGGAATGGGGGTTTCATATTCCACCCATGTCTGATTAGTGAGGTGTTCCTTTGAGCACAGGTCCACCAATGAACATGTAATCAGGCCAAATCATTAATCAACGACACAAATAGGCTTTACCTCCTGTGACACTTTGCAGTACGTGTGAATGCAATTTAGTTAGGCTACAATTTCTGAGACTGAAAAATATGACAAATGTATTTATTAAATCTTTTTATGCTGATAGTACTATTGTAGTAATTAGTGACAACAACAATCATACATACATACTAAGGATATCTTATAATGTGAGGTTTGTGTGTGTGCCCGTGTGTATAGACTGTAAATATTACT